AAATTTCAAAATATTTATTTTTAATTCATTTTTTTATTATCTACAGGCAATATCGTCTTGTCGCTTCAACCAATCCTTTGTATTATCCGCTAGTCTCTTAATTTCTATACAGCTCTTTAGAGATAATAGTTTCTTCATATTTCCCAGATTGGTTTCTCTCGGCCGTCCTCTTCCTCTTTACCCATTTATCTTCCCTTCCATAATATTTGTAATTAACGTGTTATGTCACATAATGTTTCCAAGTTTCCGAAAAACTTAATTTTTCTTATTTTCATCATTCTGATAATTTGTCTTGATTCTTCTATCATATTTAACACTTCCCTGTTCGATTTCTTTTCCCTCCAGTCGATCTTCATCATTTTCCTCCATATCCACAACCCTAATACTTCCATTCTTCTTTTATCTAGAGTGCTTAAGTTTAATGACTTATTACCATATAACGCTACACTCCAAACATACATTTTAATAAAAAGCTTTCTAATTTTAATCGATAAGTGTCTGCTTGTTAAACTATTTTGTTTCTTAGTAAAAGCTTGCTTAGCCAAAGCTATTCTTTTCTTTATTTCTATCATGTTTTTATTATCTTGCGTGATATGGTTACCTAAGTAGCAAAATTATTTAACTTCCTCAATAGGTGTGCCATGTAAACTGATGGTTCTCTGCATTTCTTTTCCACGTTTGTCTACTATTAGGATTGTTTTTTTGGCATTTATTTTTAGTTAAACTAGTTTTAGTGCTACTGATAAATTTGTCAACATATTACTCAAATTGTATTCTAATTCATTAGAAATATTAATTAAAAAATTCCACGATCGGTAGGATAAGGTTCACTCAAATTTAATTAATCACTATTAATTGCGTTTTGAGCTTGATAATTTCATATATATTATAATTCATATATATCATATATATTTCAATAATTTCATCATTTTGAACCTTTAAATTAAAAATATATAATTATACTTAATTTTGAAAATTGTATTATATTTTTAATAATTTACGTACAGGATTTTTTTAATTTAATTTAATTTTGTACATAATAGTTTAAGATATTAAATTAGGTGTATTATTTTCAATTTGCTCAACATAACTGTATAAATATTACTAATCTTAGATTCGGAGATATCAACTAATAACGGATCCTAATATTAAAAAGTCAAGAAAAATTATTTATAATAATTATTAATTTAAAACATTTTAGGTTTTAGTATTATAAACAAACTGTTATATTATTATGTTTTATGTAAAAATTTATATAATACATAATTTTTAGATTTTACTATTTATTATATATATTGTAAATATTGCATTTGTTTAATAACAATTATAAGATAAAAAAGCATTTTAATTATTCTTATTTACCTGATCTTCCTGTCTTTGAAACACAAATATAATTTTTGGAAATTTTGAAATTATTTTATTTTTTCCTTCTTTTAAATTCCTTTTTTGAGAACCAGATAAAACTTTATTTTTATTCATATTGTTAATATACTCGTATAGTATAATATTATAAAAAAAATGTAAAGTATATATTTTTTGAATTAAGCAATTTTTAAAATATTTAAATATATAATGTATAAAATCTATAATCAATGGTAAAAATATACACATTACACATGACACGTATACTGTCACACTACATAACTTTGTAGGGGTGCACGTTAACTCCGCCACAAGTATCTTTTTTTACTGATAACTCCACCAGAAAAATAAAACAGATAAAATTGAGTTCATGTAAACTCCGTCACTGAAAAATATGAAGTAATGTCATGTATGTAAACTAAAATAATGTGATACAATTTGTAAATATTCTAAGTCTTGTATTACTCCATTTATGTAACTATTTATAGCATCCTGTAACACTGTTATTTTTTTTTATTTCGAATTTTTTAGCTTATTTACTTGAGATATGCCATTTAGTTTTATATAAGTATAGGTTTGAAATTCGGTAAGTACTTTACTAAAAATATGAACATTCGGTTGACTTTTATCAAATGAATTTTTTAGATGACTATGAAAGGATTCACATGCGAAACACAAAAAAAAATGGCGGAGTTTACATATACCCATTACAGGTAATAAAAAAAAAAATTGATGGAATTAGACTTTCTATTACCTTTTTATCTTAAAGCGGTTGAAAGCTGGTCGTTTTTTCGTATATTTAGACCAATAAGCAAAAGAAAAAAAATACACTTCCAGAAGTTCAATTTTCATTTTGAAAAAATGTTTGAATTTGTTTACTCCTTGTCTGTGTTATGTAGGAAATTAATTTTTTATTTTATGTTTTTTTATTAACAATAAAGTAAAAGCGAATTTTGGAAAAAAAGAAAATTAATTTGGTACTATAATAATTAAACAATAGAAAAATCAATATTCTGTCGGAGTTTACAATCGCCCGGGTATAACATATATTACTTAGTTTTTGTATTTATTACTTTTAGTAAAAAACATTAGTGACGTGGAATATAGTTAACGCAATAAACGTAAAAAATATATTTACACCTAGTTAAGTCGTTAATACACGAAATTTGAAATATTTCCAACAAATAATATATAAAATAAAATAACAAGATAAGTGTAATTTTGTTAATATTTTACCTATTTTTACCTACTTTAGAGTCATATTAAGGGGGAAAAAATTGGGTACCTATCTACTTCTTTATTTTTTTTTTTATATATTATATTTTATTATATATTATATTTTTTAAATGTACACATTATCAAATTATTTAGTATCTTCTTTCATCTTTAATTTCCGAATATCTTCGAATAATATTGAATTCTAAGTAACTCATATTTACATTAGTCGTCAATTTAAGCCACTCATTCATGCAAAACAGACAAGTCTGGTCTAAATTTATTTTTTGATTTTCATGAATATGAATATAAATTATTGTGACCTTGAACGTAATGAAATCAGTATATTAATAATAAAGCACAATATTCTACAACTTAGTTCAGAATAAAAAATGCATAAAAAAAATCCTGTATCAGAAAATCAAATGGTCTTTCTACCTCCTCAAATTACTAAAGCCTATGGACTATGTAGGTGTATTACGATATATACATACTCTTGGCATGCAAGAATTCAAAACTGAAAAATGAAAGGGTCGATTTCAAAAACAAGAAACAAGTTCAAAAATAACAATTCAAAGTGCAAGTACAAAAACCTTGAAGTAAAAATAAAAAAATGCATGTACCCTAAGTCAGTTTTAAAATAAAATTAAAAATATCCAAGATTAAAGTTTTTAAGAACCTCAAATCCCCAACCATCATATTATTATTAAGATCATCCTAAGAGGGCAAGGATCAATTGTTTAACTATACACTCGTCGAAATAAAATCTGTATTAAGCATAAAGCTTAGCAGTGGCGAATTTAAGGGAGGAGGGCCGAAGGCCCCTCCCCCCATTGGCTTAAGTTAAGTTTTATTAATTCAATAGTGTCAAGTTTTTATTGTAATCTTTACAATTTTATCTTTTTTATTTTTTCGCTCAAAATAATTATATAAATGATATAATAATATAATGCTATAATGATATGAGAATTTCCAAACATTCGTCAACTTTTACTAATTTTGACAATATTACCTGTAACAACATCGACAAGTGAGCGTTCTTTCTCAATGCTAAAAAGCATAAAAACTTATTTAAGAACAACAATGGGGGAAAACCATTTAAACGGGTTAGCTTAATATCCATAAACAAGTTAATATAATACCTGAAAAAATATTAGACATGTTTTCAAAATCTAATCCTAGGAGATTACAATTATCTTTATCGTTATACATTTCTTACAATATTATTATAATTTAAATAGAATCTTTAACAAATAAAAAAATAAACTAACCCCCCCTCCCCAAAATAAAAAAATAATTAAATCCTGGATCCGCTACTGAAGCTTAGAAATTGTAGTAATTTTTTTTACTTACTAATGATTGGATTTGATAAATTTTATTGTTATTACTTTTAAAACTGTAGTTTTAAAGATTAAATTAGTTTCAGATGATGCTAAATGAATTATACAAACCAATGTAACAATATTGCATTACAAATAAAGAAAATAATGAAATTATAAAATTTCTAACTACATTTTTAAAAATAAACAAAATACAACTAAAATTTCGATAATGCCTTAAACAGGGCTCCTTTGAAGTTTTAATTTTAGTAATGTTTGACTTAATTTGTCAAATAATGTTCACTGCATAAATATATTCTTCACAGACCTCAATTGTTCTTAAAAAAATAATATAATAAGTACACTTACTAACTTCATTGTATTTTACTATACAAAGTGGAATAATTATCATTAATTAAGTTAAACTATAGATGAAAATATTCTATTATCTGTAAAAAAAAGTTTAAACAGAATCTATCAAATCCATAATGATTCAAAATTATAAGATTTTTCATTTTAAAAATAAAAATAAGGTATATGCGCGTGTGCCTGCATATTTAAATCATTATAACTTGCAAATATGCAGTTTTAGTGCACAATTGTATAATTATATCTATTCCTAAATAAATTATATAATTACAAATTAAACTGTTGACTACACAAGTATAAAATATAGAAAAAACTAAAAATATATTAATAGACATAAAAAATACTTGTATTCCTTTAACCAATACTTATTTTTATTATTACTACTTCATTTTTTAATTCTGAAAATGAATGAAAATAATTTTCTATTTACTAATAGAAGAAATATTCTTATATCTACTAACTTTAAGTATAAAATCAAAATATACTAATAAAATATAGTAGTATAAATTATAATCTCTTTTACAAAAGTATTACATTATAAGTATACAACTTATAACTATTTTGTAAAAACATTTTTGAGCATTATACATTGAATAATATACTAGTTTCTTAAATTTACTTATGGATATTCAAAAAAATAAAATAAACAAATTCTAACATTTTTAAAACTATTCCCAAACTAAAATAGGTGAAACAATAAAAACAACAAAAATGTTAATTTTAAAAAGAAAATTAAATAATTTGTTTAGCCTATAAATAAACCCAAATTCAAAAATAACAATAATAAAATAACAAATTATTTTACACCTTATTCATTTTCAGGAGTAACATTACCTCGATCAGCTCCATTGTAATTAAATTTTTCATTTAACAAATCTAAATTCCTGAAACAATTATATAGTTAATTTATATTTTATTTATTATTATTTATATTAATATAAGATCAAACTATCCAAGTGTTTGTTTTAGACTCTAAGAGAGTTTGAAATGTTTGCAAGGAATACTTGAATGATTTACCATCATAAATTACATTTTAAGTTTTAAACATTTTACAATCTGTACAATGTCTTACAGGTGAAGATTGGATTTATTTAAGAAAAAAAATATGCTACAGTGAAAATTCAATATCTCGAAATCACAAGAGACCAAAAAAAAAAAAAAAATTCGACATACCTAAACTTCAAGTTACCGAGGAACTATGAAAGTAGAAAATATGTAATTTTTGATTGTTTTGTTTAGTAGGTAGGTATTAGAAGTATTTTCAATAAACTACTCAAACCATTTAGTGTAGAAAAAATGTTGTCAGAAATTTCTGACTGTTGTTGGACATATTTTCGATGTTTATTAATCAAGTCCGTGTAACATTAATGTCGTTATCAGCCACTAGCTAAACTATAATTAAATATCAACGTTATTACAACGTTGTGTGTACAAGCTCAATGTCATTTACTTATAATTTATAGTCTGAGAATTTTATACTTTATTTAATCTGTTATATATTCGATTTAGGAAATCGCAATAGGCGGTGGGTACCGGATATTGAATTCAAATTATAGAAAAATTTGACTTATGAAAATTCGATATACTAAAATAACTTAACACGTAGTCCAATACTGAATGATCGGGACTAAAAAAAAAATTCAACATACAGAAATTTCGAGAAACCGGAGTTAGAGTTATCGAGGTTCTATTGTATTTAAATGCACATTTACCTGTCATTAACAGCTTTCAATAATTCTGGAAGTTCTTCCATTGAAATAGCTAAACGTAATGTACTCCAAATAGTATCTGATAAAGCAGGCGTTTGAAACTTTGCACTTATAGCTGATGCTTGTTGGTTTAGTGCTTCTAACAAATGCTCTATAGCTTCTCTGTTATATATAAATGCATATTTTTAATACAAATTATAATTTAAAAACTAAATTTCAGTAAGTATCATTAATTTATGACCCTTTTTTAAGAGAGTAAATATAAAACAAAATGAAAATAATATTACCTAATAAAAAAGATATTATAAAATATAAAGAAAAAAAAATAAGAAGAATAAAAGATCTTTTAAGACCCCAAACAAGATGGAAGAATGTAGGAGAAAAAGATCTTAAAATGATTCATGAAACCATATGGAAGATGTGAATAATAGGATCCAATAGAATGATGATGGCAGCGATGGACCTACATGGACTGCTAAGCTGTTGAGAAGAAGAAGAATATCACCTCATTTATAGTCATGTAACTGTATAATTTAATTTATATCATACAACTGAACATTAGGTAAATATTATTAGTAAAATGAATTTACAAGTGCCACATAAACACTCTCCACTAGGTCTATATAATAGAGCTATTTATACCATATTTTTACCATAATATTCCATACTCTAATATTATTTTATTAATTTGTGAATGAACCATGTACCATAGTACAATATTATCATAAGAATCTATATCAAAATTAATAAAATTATTGACACAGGTTATTACATTTGTTCTGCAATATAATGATTATAGATACCAAATTAATTGTGTGCTAAAAAATTAACAAACAATTCCAGTCATAAGAAATTTTCTGAGCAACAGAAATAAATATATTCGCTTATTTATTTGGTTCAGTAACCAAAAAGAATAATGCTATTTAAAAGCTATAGAAATTTTGTCCAGATGCATTTATTGTACATATTTTATTTTATATTTACTTAAAAATGCGTAATTTCATTAGTCTAATTATTACTACTTTTATTAGTAGTATGGTACTTTTATTAATTAAATAGTACCTACATAATATGTGATCTAATAAAATAGAATAATAACCTGTATGTATCAAGATGTATACAAGTAATTCCTAAATTATAACGAGCCCTTACAAAACCTGGGCATAGCTGCAAAGCATTGTGGTATGCTTCTATAGCTTCTTCACACCGACCACCATTGGCCAAAGTGGCACCCAAACGATTCCACAAACGCGCATCCTGAAAAATTTATCAATTACGTTTTATAGAGAACATATATATTACTATATTATTATTATTTACTCAATTAATTACCTCAGGTCTTATTTGTAGAGCAGCTTTAAAACAATCAACTGCTTTATCATTCTCGTTATTAAGATTTAGTAATACGCCCAATCCATTTTGAACATCAGCATCAACATTCCCAGTTTCCAAACTCCTTTGAGCAGCTTCTATATACATTTCTTTTACGTTATCATAGAAGCTCCTAAAAAAATTTAAAATAATATAGTTTTACAAATGTAACAAGACACTGTATTGTTAACATTTTAAATAAGACTTATGATTAAACAAATACTTGATATTTGTTTTTTTCCTAAAACTAAAGAATAAAATATACAATACTACAATAATAAAACATCGATACATACGAGGAGAGCAAATAAGGTGTGATTTTAGGTATTGGTTTTGATTCCACTATATCTCTGTACTTAGGATTTTGATATAACCAATCCTAATTAACAAATATTTATATATTTAATTAATACAACGCCAGGTTTCAATAAACATTACTTTTAAATATTTTAAATAAATTATATTTTTACTTTAAGCGTTTGGCAAGCTAATGTATGAGAACTTTCATTTGTGTAACAAGCCGCCAAACAAAGCATAGCATTCAAATTTTCTGGTTGCAATTCTATGCATTTTTTTAATGCTTGTATAGCATAATGATCCTAAAAAATAATTTTACTTATATTTAAGTAAGTAAAAATTGTACAACCATAAATCATTATTTATTTAATAAACTCCATATTACATTTTTTCAATAACCTCTAACAATACATTTGGTTTATTCAAGAAAACAAGAAGAAGTATTTTATACTTCTCATAATTTCAGTAATGTCTTCTTTGAACATTTTTTTTCTTATTCAATTTTATCTAACAAATTGTAACTTTCAAGTCCGACATGGTTTAGCATTTTTATATATTTCTACAATTAATGCCGAAGTACTATAAGGTTCCCATATTATTAAATGCTTTCGCCTCAGATCAGTCTATTCTAAATAATATTTAAGTAGGGGATTATGCTAAAAATAAGCCACAATCTCGACGGATTACCCAATAACAGATTCAGCTGTTCTACAGTTCCATCTAAATTGAATAGTTAACTGGAATAATAAACTGAGTTAAAATAAATAGTTCTGAATCATTCCACACTATTTTTACATCAAGACTATAATAATGCCTACAAGGTTTTATAAATAATATTCCTATTCCAACCTTTGACAACAATAGATATTTAGGACTTAATCTTGATAAAATATTAATGCTTAATGCACACTCTTGTATGCTCAAAATAATCATTTCAAGTAATAAATTCAGAAATATGAAAACAAAAATGTATAAATTACTTCTAAAATCCACAAAACGTGCAGCCGAAAAATCAAATACCAAGAAAATTAAAACTTTTAAAAACATTTCATTCTAAAACATCACAAATGACCTTAAATATTTCAAATTATACACTCGGCAAAGATTTCGATATAAAAACAACGAAAAAGCCAAAACAATTTAGAATCTATGATATTTTACTCCAAACCACTGTACCAATAAAAACCTACTCATAAGACATTTGTTTATTCCAACTATTCCTTAAAATTTCCGTCGTAAATGGTAATGAATATGGTAGCGTAAGATCCTACAGTTTTACTGTACCTATTTAATAATAAATTTAAATCTAATTTTCAACTACTGAAGTATTTTTAATGCCCCCCCCCCTTAAGTAACAGCTTTTTTAATCATGACTTTCACGTTCATTGTATTCAATTCTCAAATAAACTTATTGTGCTTTTTTTGTATAATGAATTTAATTTATAGTTATAATCAAAAAATAAATAAAAACTATTTAAGAGCATTAATAAACTTATAATATTTCATACGCTTTAGAATTTAGAAACAAATAATTCTTAAAATTATTTTGATTGATATTGAATATATGCTTTTTATTAACTACTTTCAAAAATATTTATAATTTTAAAAACATAAAATGTGACCAACAACACTTATAAAATATAAAGAACCAACTTGTTCATTTTCAGCTTGGGTGGTTCCTAAAAGCTGCCACGCTTCAGCATTAGAAGGATCTTGCTTAACAGCTGCTTCAAAGCATAATACGGCCGTTGGCAACTCACCATTTTCCAACCGTCTTTTTCCTTCAGCTAAAGGATTTTCTATTGATTCCATCTCGTTGCCCGGCGTAAATGAATAGTTCTATACAAAAATAAAATCCACCAATATAATTCAACATTTGAACAGAGGATACAAATGGTTTTATATAAAATGAAATAAATGTACCGATGGCGAATCAAATCTGATATCAATATCTCTCGAGGTATTACCATACACCGGATTATAATTAAAATACTCGTTTTTCATTGAACTAGGGTCCACATTTTCAATAGTTCGATCCAATTGCTTAAATTGTTCAAACTGATCTCTAACCAATATATTTTCTATTCCTGGAGTACTTGGTGACATTGTACTCGACGCATTATTTGTTTCTGTTGATTGAAATGTATTTTCAAATGCCATAATATCATGCCGATACTCTTGATTGTCCGCAAGTATTGGATTATGAAATAATCCAATTCCCAAATTGTTTATTGGTAAATGAAAATTATTCTCATAAGATACTTTTCTATTAACATCCTGAAATAAATAGATGTTACATTATAAATATTATTTAAAAAATTATAAGTACCTATTAAAATGAGAATCCAAAAATATTTCTTACTTTAACGATTTAATTCATATTAAATATTAAAATATAATACAATATTTTACCAAAACTAAAATAATATTATTGTGAATCCCATAATGATAAATATTGTTTTAAACAAATATGAATGATTCACCACTGTTTATTATTTAAAAATTTACCATAAAATCATCACGTGTAATAGATTCAAAATCATCAAACTCTAAAACCTTTTCTTTATTTCTATCAAAGTCAAATCGTGATTTGTTTACGTTGTTCCTAAAATGAATAACAATTTATAACTTACAATAGATAAGTAATGATTAAAATATATATATAGCATAGTTTCAACAAATAACTTACTTTTGATTCTCATAGGATTGCTCTATTTCTTGTACCCATTCAGGAGTATAGCCTAAATCATAAACTTCGTCTTTTACTAGCATTTTATTTTCTGAAGAGCTCCATATATTTGGATCAAACTGCTGATCCTGATGAAATAAAACCATAACATTTTTTTTAAAAAATAGCATAATTAGTGCCTCTCACGTCAAAACATAATACTCCTGTATTTTATAAGAAATATCATCCAAATAAAAAACCCAATAGAAAAAAAATTAATTTTAAAATAGCCTATAATAATTAGAAAAAATGTATAAAGACTAAATCTAATATATCAGATGTATTAGAAGCATTAAAATATATTTAAATTAAATAAAACATATTACTGTAGAAAAAAAATGATTCATTAATAATTACAATTATACCCCGGTGTATTAAATCATCACATTTTTATCTATTAAAAAATAAATTATAATAATATCAATCACAATGTTATGAACTAAATTATAAATAATTTTTTTATAAAACACTATAAAAATCCCGAAAACAAAATATTCACTAACAAGTTCACACAAACGTTTGATCATGACGACATATTTAATATACAGTGCTGTACTCGTATATGAAAATTTGCTCCACTAAGCTATTAACTATCGTCGTCATTGATATTGAATTAGAAAAAAATCATATAGGTACCTAATTTTTTTTAATTTCAATTATGAACAAGTTAAAAAAACTTAATCTCCGAGTGTGCTAAATGTTTGGTTTTTAAACCTATTTTAAACAATTAACTATGATTTCCATACACAGTTTAAAAATAATTTGGTAACTTGTAAGAGTGTATTATTCTTATGATTAGAAACCTAAATAATCAAAATATCTTAATTCATAAATAAAGCATTTATACTTTGGTTATATAGATTATATAGAAGTACTGGCTTGTATAAATTTATTAATAGTAATAAATATATATATAGAAAATACTCTCTTACTTTCCTCTCAACTATTTAAAGTCAGCTACCTTTATCCAAAGTCTCCAATCGTTTCGAATTATTACATCTCCTATGCACACACCCAGTGGCGGTTTTACGGGGAGGGGCAGGGAGTCTGCCCCCCATATCACGCGTTTAGGTTGTGATATATTTTATTTTATATATTTTGTCTTGTAACTAAAATGCTATGCACTATGTTTTTTTTGTAATTGTAAGAATTACATTTTAAGACTTTAAGTAATAAATTATTAATGGATTAAACATTTTTTTTATCTACATATATAATAGGGTAATGTCAAAGGAACTCCCCCCCCAGAAAAAATTGAAAAAAAAACCACCACTGCACACACCAACAGCCCTGACATCATTTTCAATAGTATCCAACCATCTCCTTTTTGGTCTTTCTCTTCCTCTTTTCCATTCAACGTTAATTGTCCACATTTAATTTTAATTTTAATTTTTCATTATCATTTAACCACTCTTATTGCTTTTGTTTTATCTCACCTCATCATCTCAGATATCTGCGCTCATCTTGTCCACTATCGACGCAACACCAATACTACCTCTCACATATTCGTTCCTTTTCTATCTTCTCTTGTCACTCCACTCATCCATCAAAGCATTCTCATTTCCGCAACACTTATACTCTGTTAAATTCTCCTGACGACCACCCAACACTCCGAATCACATGATTTCACTACACTCCTGTACAATTGACCTTTCAGCTATTAATTTTAATTTATTTTTATTTTTTCAACTATTATTAAATTTAAGCTTATTTGAATATTATTCGTTAAACTTAAATGAATAGACCGAAACTGAAAATAATTATTTTCATATGAAGATAACAAGTATATTAACAAGTATATTAATTATAATTTTAATAAATACATATAAAATATAAAAAAATTTTTTTTTAATTTTTAATATTTGCTAAAATTGAAAAATTACCATTCCGATGTAGTATTACCTATATAATTTTATTATGATTATTATTACCAATAAAATAATGTTGATTAAATAGGTACTAACATGTTTATCGATTTTTTTCGCAAACTCTGTTGGCCAAGCTTCTTCACTACTACCCAAATCGGCTTCAACACTTCTCATTTCAGCTAAAATGTTATCCATTTTGAATGTTTCTGTTTCGACGGAACTAAAAAATTGATCCGCCAACTAAAAAAAACATGAACAAATTACTATACAATATTATTCCATATAATTAGATTTACCTCTCTTGTATTAGTTTGCAAAAAAATTTGATCATTATTTTCGTTATGTGTTGATTGTATAAGATCTTGGTCCTTAAACGCATGATCTTGGACTAAATGTGTCGATAATTTAACCAATGAATTGCTACCTCCACAATCACTTTCAACTAAATCACGCAAAGACATTTTGAACTGAAACACAATGTTTCTATAGATATTATGGAAAAATGGAAATATTGACTTGAAGCGCATGCGTAATAAAGTTAAAATTGGAATTTTAATAATAAAAATTCCACCAACATTTTTTTTCTTTTTTCAATTCTTAATCACAAACATTATAATATTTATGTATACCATAATCATCTATAGTATAGATTCTATACCTAATGCAACTACAAGGGCGAATTTGTGGGAGGGAGCGAAGGGGCATTCGCCCCCATGGCTCGTATTTTTTTTTGAATATAATACATTAATTCATTTAAAAAATGTAATGTATAAATAACTAAGAATATAAATTACTAGTCTATCATTATAATTTGATAATAAATTCAATGATATATCAATTTGACCACGGGTATAAATTGTTGTTTATCTTCATATATCATACCATTTTTGGTTGTGGAACGAATAGTGGTATTATCTTCCACAGATATTGCTAAGGTTATAGACATTTACAACCACAACCGAGATATTTATGAGATAATATAAAGTAATTTAAAGTAACCCTTTCTTTACCACATATTTACTAGTTAGTCATTTTTTGGTGCATTTATGCATATTGTATATTTTTGTATTTATTAGAGCTTTATAAGTCCTTAATAATTTTACTCGCCTATTTTTTTTTTTTTTTTTACAACATCTGGTACTTTTTTTTTTTTGCATAGGTATTTAGTCATTTTTTTGTGCACAAATGCATGCATATTTGTGTATTTTATAGAGCTAGAAGCCCCTAATTCAAATAATAATCATAATAACTGACAATATCTGTTTCCATATTCATTTACTTGAAAATATTGGCCAAAAATGTATTTTTGTAAATTGAAAACATGTTTAAGATCAAGAATAGGCCAGCAGAGACTAACAGATTTTGCTTTGCTGCATTTACATACAAATATTATTGTATCCATTGATGAAACAATCAACAAAGTCGCCAAAATGAAAAAAAAAAAATTTGGAATTTGTTATTTGATTACTTACCAACTTTATGTTTTCTACTTAGATATTTGTTAAATTAAGTTACCTATCTTAATTGTTTTTTAAAGTTTTTTTAAAAAATAATTAATAGGTACTACCTAGTAATAGGTACAGATTATTTGTTGTTTTTTTTACACAGGATTCAGACTGAAGGTACGATTTTAATATAAGAACTATTTGTGTTGTTATTATACTTATTTTATATGCAGTAGGTTTTAATATATTTGTTAAATAAATATTTAATTCAATTTGGCACTTGTATTTTTATCCGGATTTGCTGAAGTATCCGGGTTTATGAATTTGTTTTTTATATAACTTATAAATATTCTTAATTTCTAGTAAAATAAATCATTTTATTTTATTGTCACAAAAAATTAATATTATATTTTATAAATTTCAATTTACTTATGATGATTTCAACAGTTTTTATAATGTATTATTAGTAACCAAAATTACAATTTATTTAATTGCTGGGTTCACTTTATACCTCTATGACTTACAGTGCTATCATGACTGAACACCCAATTACCTTATCTTAACTTCATTATCTTTGAATGGTTATTGGATACAATTTTCTGAAGATAAATAGAATTTATATTACAATACAATATAAGAATGATACAATAATAATTGTTATCGATGTAATTATTTACACGGACAAGATTTCTTACAATTAACAAATAAAAATTATTTTTAAGTATTAAAAAGCATAATTTGGAGATATATTGTAGAAATGGTATTTGTAATTCAACAGAAAAATTGAATTGAATAATCCGGATAGTTCGGGTAATCCATCAAATCCAGATATGCCCATCACTAGTTCATACATATTCATACACATCCTACCATCTGATCACAAAGGGTTTGTTGAGCACATTTTTTTTTGAAATTACAATTTACTTAACATGATATTATTCTATGTCTATGTACCGAGTCAGAGGTTCAGTAAGGAGTAACATTTCCAGAAATTTGTGGTTAATAGTTTTAGTTATTTAATATTTAACACTCGAAAATGTTATATATATATGTATAGATCATACAGTAACAGTGAAAGGTTTTTTGAAATTATACTACATTATTCGAATGAAATGTATTACAATCGCTAAAAAGTCGACATACCTCTATTATTTCCTAAATAAAAAAAAAAAATTGATCCTAACTCTTCGATAACTACATTACATATATATATTACATAATACACGTATATTACATTTATTCAGGGCCGGACTGGCCCACTGTACTACTGTGCTGTAGCACAGTAGACCGCGGCCCTGAAAAAATCTTTAACTGAAATTACAGAACATTGAACAAATTATCTGTTTATAGCCCCTTGGTACCTAATTATATTTTTTAAATGATCTCAAGGGATGATTATAGAAAATCCTAAGTACATTATAAATTATGTTATACTGAAATCTAGTCTGAATCAGCTTTTCGGCAGTAAATCTAGTATTTACTGTGCTTAATGCATATCATATATTGTGTATATTGTATATATTTATACACGTGTTATAATAATTAACGTTATCACAGATGACAGAATAAATAAATTGATAACTAAACCCGTGACAGTATTTTTAATTATATCCTGTGGTTTTGTTCTATCGTGATACCTATTTTTGGCTTTTATTTATCAAAATAATGTTGTTTGAGTTTTTCTAATGGCGGCCACGAGAAAGGCGTGTATAATAAGATGATAATGTAAAAATGACATGATTAATCATGTTTGTTGATTATAAAGGTTATAAGAAAGTGTCCCTTTCTAACCTCTTTAAATCCTACCAAATATCAATTTGTGAGACAAACACATTTAAAGATTTCCGAAATAATACATTGTGGATTCTAGAATCTTATCTAGAATAGTAGGCCGGTGCCCACCCAGTCCGAGCCTGCATTTATCCTCAGAGTAGCGTAAATCCCTTCTATCCAACGCCTGGCTCCCGTTCTTTAAACCTATATTTTATAATTTGATATTTATTATTGAAAATTAGTGATGGGCCGAACTGTTCGAATGTCGAACAAAACTGAACCTAACATTAGATGATCGGTTCAGTTCGTAATCCGAACTCAAAATGAAAGAAAATCTAACCGAAATATTTACCATTTAGATATTTTCTTAATTTGAACTAGAAAATATTCTTAATCAATTTAAAATTAATTTTCTATACTTTATAGTTTGTAGTAAGTATCATATTAACATTAAAAATGTTTTTTATATTATTACAATTAGATATGATGAAATAAAATAATTCCATGTTGAAGCATGTAATTTTGTAAATATCTATAGGTAATATTATCATAGATTATTTGTCATACGATGCGTGATGATATGATCAAAACCACAAATCTATTTTTAGTAAAGTGAAAAGGAAAAATATAAATATTGTTTGTACTCTTTATTTTTAAAAATGTTATCAAAATAATAGAATTTAATGTTAATAAATAATTATAATAATATATTTTTAGATATATTAAATTGTGTACAATGTGAGTAAAAATTTTATAATATCGGTATATTTATAAAAGGAAAAAAATGATGAGTTCCAATTTTAGTTCAATAAAAAATATTAATAGTTCAGTTCGATTCGGGTTCGTAATATTGACAATGTTTGGTTCGAGTACGGTTTGACACCGGAAAATCAGGTTTGACCCATCACTATTGGAAATCCAATATAGGTACTCTATTTTATTGACCTAAAATTGTCAGGTATTACGAAAAATTTAAAAATTATTACAAAAAAAATGTTAAAGAGATACATATACCATTACAATTCTAAATAGAACACCAAAGCTCATTGTAACGATCACACACATATGCTACCGTCCGCTACGCCGCGCCACCCGTATCACGCACGTCGACACGTCGATCTCGCGCTACGACGGTAAGAGATAGCGCTGACGCGACATAATATTAAAAATCTAAATTTCGCACCGCAATTCATCAACTTTCACTCACTCATAGCAGTAAAGGGATAATATAATTCAGAAGCACCCTCAATGCACAATAAATTAATACCTCCAGAAGCTATATATATTACTCTGTGAAAAACTTATTAAGTAAAACATGTACTTTTTACTCACCCGGGGAATCAAATCAATAACCACCGAATATGGTATATATATGTTACCGGAAATGTTAAAGCTTTAGAAATGATGAAAATATCTAGGATGGAAATGATATCGTTACCTAAATACTTTCAACATTTCGGCAATTTATTAGGAAATCTTATCAAGCATTACTTACTTACACGAAAGCATAAGAACTCGTGATGCAGCAAGTCATGTGGGAACCGCCTTTACAATATAACTATAAGAACGATAACTAACTCGTAACGGCGACATACTGAAACCCGTAATCGTCACCCGTCGATGATTAAATGGTTGAGTAGTAAGTGCCTATCGCATATATCTATCGCAATCTTTATGTGTTTTATTAAAAGTGTCCCTAACATGTACATGTCGTATACCACCTTTAGTAGTGTGTTCTTCTTAGTACAGTAGCAATAGTATTTGTTATTTACACATTCAGTGCACTTGTTAAAAATGGATCTCAATGAAATGCGAAATATTGGTTTACCAATAGATAAAATCGGCTCTTTGAAATATGAGGAAGATATAGAAAGTATTTTAAAGTCAAGTGAAGACGAAAAAGTCGAAGAAAATGAATCGGTTACTAGTGACTTTGAACTTGGTAAAAAAAAACGTAATAGTTTAATATATTTAAATATAATTTACTAACTATAATATTATTATTTAGTTTATCAACAAAAACAAAATATACTGAATGCACGTTCAATCATCTCCGCAAAATTTAGAAAAACAGGCTCAAAAAAATGATTAAAACATCGAATAAAAAATATGATGAACTTAGTGTTGGAACTACAGTACACCTGAGCATTCCTGATGTAGACCGCGTTCGTGGATCGCTGAGAAATATACTAGCGGTTATAACTGAAGTTAAAGAAGATTTATACAAGTTATATTAGAATTAATTTAGT